TTGTAAGGTAGCGCCCTCTGTGAATTGATATTTTAATTTCACGTATAATCCTAAATTAAAATTCACTACAAGAGCTTTCATACACACGGTAGTATTAAAAAATCTCACAGATGGCGCTGTATTAAATAGTATGTATATTTCTGTCTCATTCTTTGCTGGCTTCATCCTACACATTTTTGTATTTGTGTCTCTTACCTGTTGTTTTTTCCGTTGCATCCGGTTTGAAATCACAACGATTCTAAAGAAGTTTTCACTTAAAAAAAAAAATTACGATGCGTAATTCACACTCCATTGCTGAGTCTGTAAGTAATTTTTTTCTTGTTCTTTAGACGGTTGAACGATTTAACGGCTGAATTTGTGTTAGAGTCGATTTAATGTCCGCCCAATCTTTCAAACCAGAATGTGTTACGCTATGCGACAGCCGCGGGTTTATGAATTTGTTTTACTTCACAGCAAACAAGGTCGAGAGGTGGAGGAGGCGGTGGAGGTCAGCGAAGAGGTGGAGGCGGAGCAGCGGAGCGCCGGGCCGCGGCGCCCGCGCGACCTCACGGCCTCCGTGTTCGGGAACAACTTCGACGTGGAGCCCGGCCCCGTGACGTCAGCGCCCGCCCACCGAACCCCCGTCGCCGGCCTCACTCAGTGCCTCATGTATCTGTGTGAGCATTCGCTGTTTGTGTTAATGGAAGGACCAGCTGTATTTATCCACATAGATATTTCTATCTTTTAGCAATAGGCTAATATGTCCATGAGCCACTTTACTTACCATCAGATAAATCGTGTGCTCGTCGTCTGCCTACAAAGGTACAAAAAAGGGCACGATAAAAAAAATCCAATTTTTATTCTTTATACATGGTGTACATAATAGTCTTTTGGGATAGTCAGTTCTCCGATAAAATCTTATTACTTTTTTGGGTCTTTCATTGTAGAGTTTTTATTTATATTAGAGGCGTATTAACTAGTAAGAGTGCGCAGTGTGCGGCGGGGCGGGGGGCGCGCGCGGGGTGGCGGCGGCGGGCTGGGGCGGCGTGGGCTGCGTGCGCGCGCCGCTGGACGCCGCCGCCGACTCGCGCACCTCGCCGCCGCGCTGCGCCGCACGCTACCGAGCCGTCCTGGCGCATCTCATCGCGCTGGGACAAGGTGAGCCGTAGGGGGCGCGTGAGTCGCTCGCTAACATATGGCGGTGCCCGCGACCGACTTTCCTACCTAAGCTGACGGTCTTGAGGGACCATATCAGCGTTACCGGGCGAGTAGGTGAGCTCACGGAGCTAAAACCGGAGTGTTGCTAACACGAACTCTAGCAAGAGCCGTGCTTCGCAGAATCTACCATCGGATCGGAAACGCAACCCACTGAAAAGATTCGGCGAGAAACTGACTGTGGGTTAATTTACTCGCCGAGCCCTTCGTCGCAAGCGATGGGTTCTACGAGAGCGATAACCGGTGCTTGAGATACCTAAAAGCACCGTTAGTGGATCGGGAGGATCCGTAATGACGTTTTTTGGGCGACGTCGACCGTTTACAATTCGATTTGCAGGACCGGGAATGAACGCGGCTGACAATAACTGTACTTGGGCCATTAAAAACGTACGAACCGAGTGATAAATCGTTTTTATCAGATCTCTCGCTCACACTTATAGGCATATCGGATCTCTCGCTCGCACTTATAGGCATATCGGATATCTCGCTTCTAGTGTTGTGTGCGACGGTAACCACTCACTATCAGGTGAGCCGTACGCTCGTCTGTCTACAAGGGCAATAAAAAATTAAAAAACGTAGACTTCAAGATGTTATTCGATTTTCAGAATTATTATTCGGTAAGAGATCTTCAACTCCACGTGTAGACTCGAACGAGCATCGTGATCTGGCTCGACGACAGTTGCTGGGCGTCACGCGGGGCGCCGCGATGCTGGTCCCAGGCCTAAAGGACGCGCTCAACAACGCCTTCGAGATTATACAGGACCCGAGGCTGAATAAACAGGTAAACAGCTTAAGTTCAGTTTCCACTCAGGAGGTGAAGTCGCTCTGGATTAAAAAGCAGGGCAGCCACGAAATATTAGGTGGTCGTCACTATCACTCAGCCTTGAATGACGAACTTATAAAAAAAAACCAACACAGTAGTACTTTGTAAATTCCTACCATATTAGTAGGATTTTTCAAATCCTATTTTATTCCATCTTATGCGAACTATTTCAGATAACACAACATTTAGCTTTATTCCACTTTTAATATACTAATGTATACAAAGTGATATGTAGTATATATAAAATAATAATTATAATTGACTCTGGCAACAATGACACCGCAGCAAGCCGATTGCCACACTGCAAATAAAAAGGTGCAGACATGAATGACGTTTCGCTGTCGTTTCGCATCTGGTGCGAATTAAAATGATATTTTTTGTAACTAAATTTTTATTTACTTACAGTTGGTGTATAATTTATTGGACCTGTGTTTAGTGGAGCTGTTTCCGGAATTGAAAAACGAAAATGAATGTTCCGACAGCGGACCAAAGAGCTGAGATTATATTTATTTCACACGTGGATTGTAATTTAATATGTTATTCGAATATACAGTGAAGTTTGATAACTTATTATTTTTATACAAAAATATAATCATAACACATAAAGAGGCTCTATTTTTAATTCTGAAAATATTTACTTCAATGTTACCTGATTCGAGCAGCTTTTTATACCTACTATTGTTGCTTGCTACTAGAAAACTTAAGAGTATTAAATAAAATTGAAAATCAAACAACACATTTATTTGAAACTGCAATGAACAATTAATATTTTTGTATGTAAAAACTGTTTTATCATATTATTATATTTAATCGTTCAATTAATGTTATTGAATTGAATATTTTTACACTTGAATGTAAAAAAATTCATCTACTTTTTAGTCACGGGATTGTAAGTTGTTCAAAGGCTGCTCTTTGAACAATTTACGCTTTTGCAAAGCAAGGTAAGAAATCAGTAAGCCGATGGAACCCGCAGATTTATCATGCAATTTGCGGAATATTCTATTCATTATTTTTAATGTTTAAACGCGGGCATTTTTCTACTTCTATAATTTCATGGTTTGTTAAAATTTTACAAATAGAGTTTACACATCGACAAGATTCATCTTAACATGCTGATTTCGGATTAACTGAAGTTGAAAATCGTTTAAAAAATTCCGAGACAGATATTTTTGGATTTAGCAAATTAATTGAGTTTTCAGTTATAAATTTAACTTTGAAATGAATTTAATTAATATGACATTGTTCAGTTGAACTGTGATTCACGTCTTTGCTTTAATCTGAACTAGAAAAAAAAACATCTGTCATTGGCCTGTCATAACGTTGCGAATTCCTCGCATGTTTTCTTTCTGAGGTTGTCGCGTCCATTGTTATTATATTAATATTATATAGAACGGATTTTTTGGCGGGAATGTAAAGAATGCAGTTATGTTATTTATTTTTGTTAATTCAATGTTTAGATCTTATAATGATTCGGCAATTTGAGCTTATTTCCTGTCTTTTAATAGAGGAGAGTAATCCATATCATTTTCCGAGATTTTTATCAAACAATGCTACTACAGTTTTTTTCGTATAAAATGGTTATCCTTTCTAATGTACTTAGGTAGTCCATTCCTTGATTAACTATTGTTTAAAAAAATACTATTAAATGTTTAAGATTCATCATATTACATTTAATTTATTCGAACTTTTACATACACAGACTTTGTTGGAATGTACATTTCTGGTTACAAGGACTGCTAATAGCAAATATTGTGCCGGCGCTGTGACCGTCCTCAAAAAGAATTGGAAAATATTTACAAATAAATTATTTTTTAAATAATACCTGTTGTTTTTTTAAATCGTCATGATCTAGGTAATGTCTAAGACTCCCGGTGTATTCGTGTCGAGCGATACGTCTGAATGAGTTCGAATCCCGCAGGCATGTACCAATTTTTCTTATGATATACATACTTAACTTTTCACAATTGACTTCCACGGTGAAGAAATAAAGTGTAATAAAAAACAAACTCGCAAAAATTTGAGTTTGCGTAATTAATTTTGATGGTAGGGCGTTTTGTGGCTCGCACGGGTAGGTACCACTATTGCCTACTGCCATAAAACAGTAATACGTTTGAAGGGACGGGCAACCACTGTACTGTTAGACTTAGGACTCATGTCTCAACATGGGTGGCGGCCTTAACGTGGTCGGTGTCTACAGGCTCCGGACCACTTAACACCAAGTAGGCTGTCCTGCTCGTCTAGCCATCTAAGCAATATTTTTTTCTTTTTCTTTAAAGCTTAATGCAAATCTAAGATGAAATTGAATGAAAATAACTAAAATTAGAGCGATAAACTAGAAGACCAGAAGGTTTGATGAAAGCAAATTAATTATAAAATTGTATCAGTTATTGTTTTCTGATAGATTATATTATAAGTATTAATATAAATAATACAAGAACCCAACATATCGTAATGTCGTCTATCTAAGACTATCTTTAATTTTATCGGTGCTGCGAATGCTACAACCATAGATAATACACAAACTAATTAGCTACAGTAGGCAAATTTAAGGATACCACAATAGATACATACATTTTCGAACGTAACGTTTTATTGTTGCCAATTTGTTTTAGTTTCATTTTCCAGTTTTTCCAGTGACGGCAGAGTCGCAGCCAAGTAAACATGTTTCACACGTACATACAGTTTATTTGGATTCAATTGATTAAAGTATAGAATAGTACATTTAAACATAAAGTTAATTTATATAATTATTTAATATCTACCACACCACTAAAATAACAACTATTATATAATAGTATACTTATTATTAAACCAACTACTACCATTATGGTAACTCTAATACTTAACTACATATAAAATACATAAACTTAATGAACCTACATATATTTTCAGTTAGCATTTAATAAGTGGTAAAATAAATTCCGATTTTTTAAAACTAGAGCCGGCAACCCTGAACTCATGTGTACTGTCAAAATATCAAACTTGTCAAAGTTAATGTACAGTGAAAAGTAAAAGGTGATGGGTGTGTTTTGTGTTGCTTTCTTTTAGTTTTCTTTAATTTAGTCAAGAATTTAAAATTTAAAATGTTTATCAATAAGACACCCTTTTATACCATGTTTTAATAATTTTACTTCTCCTCCCTTTAAACTTCGTTAATTCACTGCGTCAATTGAAATCATTGTTCGTATTTGTCTTTGGTAATTTCGTAACAAACATAAACAAATTTTAATGAAATTATTAATTCAGTGTTATGTTACTATCATAAATTTTAACTCCAAGTAAATCTTCGTAACCCATCATCATATTAACTAAAACCAACAAAGATGTGTGCGATTCCAAACATGAAATATGGATTTATTTTCTGAACTGAGATTTGGTAACTGGAAGTCGCGATGTCGACTCCGGGCCCGAAGGTCGGGATGCGTCTCAGTGAAGCACTTGACAACATGCAGCTCGCTTACAATCCAATAACGAAACAACTGCATTTCGTTTCAAAAAAAAAACCAATTGAAAACCTCGACACTGTTGACGACATTGATAAATTATCAAAAAAGAGCAGTTTCAGTGATGAAGGTAATTTCTCGATATCAACCTGTGAGAAAAGCGATACAAGTGATTCCCCAAAAAGTACATTGCAATGGGGTGGGAGTGTAAATGGACATCATCGAGGAAAGGATGGTGGTTCATTCTCTAGTACAGTGTCCAGTTTGTCGGAGTGCTCCCTTGGATCCTCAGCGTCGAAAGAAGATGATTCAGTTGACGTCAATGTCGACCATGAGCAAGCCAAGCTAAAGAAGAAGGGGCTTTCTGGATTTTTCAGCAGGTAGGAAATTTTATTTACAACATCTTTAATTTTTACGTTACTTACAGTTATTATACTATACTTATACTTAAAAATCAGATTTTTTATTCTAATTAACTATCTGATAAAGAAGTACATGTATTTTTTGGTGTGGAGAGATTTGAAGGATCAAACANTCGACCATGAGCAAGCCAAGCTAAAGAAGAAGGGGCTTTCTGGATTTTTCAGCAGGTAGGAAATTTTATTTACAACATCTTTAATTTTTACGTTACTTACAGTTATTATACTATACTTATACTTAAAAATCAGATTTTTTATTCTAATTAACTATCTGATAAAGAAGTACATGTATTTTTTGGTGTGGAGAGATTTGAAGGATCAAACATTTAAATCGATGAAGTTAAAACTTCAATATAAGGTCTCAACATGGGGATTACCATTCCCGTTGCCATTGCCATTCTAGTATATAGGTATTCAGCGACCAATTTGCGGCTGGCCATGGGATAATCTGCCAAATTGGTAATTTTAAAAATAAAAATGATTTAATTTCTCACAAAATGTTTGAAATGCCCTTTGTTAAAGAGGCTACTAAGAATCCAGTGAATTAACATTCTAAATTTATGGGAAAACTATTCTGAGTACACAATGACAGACAAAAATTTATCAAAAATTGTTTATTTAATCAGACCAATGTTTATACAAAATGCAATAAATGAATAAATACAATAAAAATTAAATAATAGAACAAATTATGAAAATTCCAATATAAATTTTATTCAGTATTTCCAAAGTTCTCGGCATCAATTCCAACTAATTGACAGGATAGCTCAAAAAGTTTTTTTTGATATTCCAAATTCTTTGAAAATCTATTACTGATCCCTTCAATACAATTACTAATGTATAATCCTCCCCGCTTCTGCAATTCTTTATTGAAACACGCAAAGAGTATAGAAACGGCTCCCTTTTCTGGCGTCTTGAAGAATAGTTTCATAGCCCATGGAAAAACTCTTTTGAAGACTGTACCATCGAATAAATCAGTGTTGACAATCCCGGGATGCACTGAGTATCCTTTGACAGGAATATTATTCTCTTCCATAATCTTATTAATGTATCTTGCCGTCATTAACTGTAAACAAATTAATTATCTTAAATGAGAATGTACTTTTCATCAGTAAGTCTCTAAAATGCTAAATTTACTGAGCTGTTGATGGAAATTAGTATTATCTGAACAAATAAAGTGATTGCATTATTATGCATTTATAACATAAGTAATGGTGTTGATATGTCTTTGGTATACAATGAAGCTTGCCTTGCTGTAAGTGTGTTTTAATCCTAAGTATCGAACGTGACTTGTATTTACCTGAGCTAACTTGGATTGTGCATAAGCTGCTGTTTCATCATAATGCTCTTTCATGTTAATATCATCAAAATATATTTGTCCCGGATAGTGGCCACATGACGTCACATTAACGAACCTTGATGGTTCACATAAGTTTCCAGCTTTCTTCAAAGCCGGCAAAAGTAGGTGTGTCAAATAAAAATGCCCCAGGTGATTCACAGCGAGTTGTGATTCAAAACCGTCTGTAGTCAATTCATACTTCCCATACATTATCCCAGCATTGTTAACTAGTAAATTTATCTTTGGGTACTTATGCAGTACATTATCAGCAAATTCCTTGACGGATTTTAACGATTTCAAATCCAGTTTGTAAGCTTCCAAGTTTTGACCATTCTCCATTGATTCAGATAATTTATGCACCAATTCCGGGTTTCGTATTCCGATGATCACCCGCATGTTTGCTTTGAGTAAGCCCTTGATGACTTCTGTGCCGATGCCCCTCGCTCCGCCGGTAACGACCGCAACTTTTCCGGCCGCATCTGGTAACGCAATTCTGTTCCTCGACACGTTAATCCAGTCGTCAATAAGGCCACCCGCCCCAGCGCCCTGCATGTCCAACGCGTACCGAATCTCTTTCAGTATATGCTTGATTGGTTTATCACGGTTTACATACCAATAAAAAGCGGCAGCGCTCAAAACAGCAGATGCTATAATAACAGACATGTTTTATTATTGTCGTCCGCACGACGCGGCGCGGTCTCCGTCACTGGCTGCTTTCACTCGATTCGATCCTCCGCGCTTTCTCTATGGGTCTTGTTTATTGTTTTGATTTACCGTTAGTCCTAAGGTGTCCAGGCCAATACCAGTTTGATGTACTAAAAGTACAAATTTCTTATCCGGACTGATTAAGTGACGGGTTATCGCTGCTTGACCTCAAATGTGACTGAAAAGAATAGATAATATAAAATGTTAGTAAGCGAGACGAAACTTCGGTTTCTGTCCAAGTTGATTTAACGACTTTAATAGATAAAACAAACTGAACACGTTTTTTTTTCTTATGACATGACGCCATAACTAGGATATTATATTTTGTTTACTTTTAAAATCAACATCGAACGAGGTCGGAGGGACACGGACGCACAATACTCACACAGCCGTCAGACGCGCTTGTTTTGCGAATTGAAACGACGCATGCGCACTATATACTATACATGTTTATCGTTAACCCGCTTTGATTTCTAATTGCCGCATTAACAACAACAAAAAACTAGTTTAAGCGCCTTATTACAGTATAATTATTGTGACGCTTGCTATTTTCGGGTTCCCCCCTTGTGTGGCGCGGAGAGGGTTCGGCGATCCGTGTTCGGGCGCATCTGGTCGTCTTTGAGTCGCTTTATTGTAGCGGTAAAGACTAGTTCTCGTCGAGATTTAATAAGGGGTCTTTGAACTACTGCACTCGATGGTGCGTAGCGTGACGCAAGGCTGCAATCGACGTATGCGTGTATCGAATCCTCGTGCACTGAAATCGGATAATTGTTTTTTTTTTTTAAATACCTATCATTGTTAAAATGATTGCGTCAAAATTTTGCAGCGATACAAGCTATTTACGTCACAGATCATAAACGTTATTAACATTCAATCGAAATAATTCCGTACGTACAACCATAAAAAATCTGGTTATCTTATCACTCAACGTACTTTACATAGGTAATTGAAATATGAATTAAATAACATTGATAGTTATAATTTAAAATGTAACTGGTGAGAATTATTTATGTAGTGTTTGCGAAAAAGACTTCTTGGTTTTCAGTGTACTCTGTGTTTTTTTTTTAATACAATAAAACAGAGAAATTTTCAGTTCTCAGTTTAGTATTAAGTTTACGAATCCATGACTTGAACATGAACCGAGAAAACCTGTTTATAAATCCCAGTCGCCCTAACGCACCTACCCCCTTAGACAATACAATAACGATAGCATTTGTAACCATTACCGGTTTAATTCACGGACGATACGAACATTACACGAACTGTCGCGACGATGTACGCAAAACAGATGCGTAATCTCCGAATATTAATTCAGAAGCTTGTGGTTTTGATGTGGCGTTCGCAGAAGAATGCGGTTAAAGTATTTCGGAATTTTGATGAAGATTTGTGTTTGCGTATTGAATTACGAGATAATTTTGTTGTACAAAATGTTGTACATTTTGTTATAAGCTTCATAAGGAGGGAAAATGATATTTTAAACGAAGTTTTAATAATATATTTTTCCTGAACGTTTTAAAACTGCTAACGAACAATATTGACAGATTCCTAGGACAGGTGGTTAGTAGTGTACGCAGACTGTTCGACACCTGAGACTGGTGGGCATCTAAAGCATACAAAAAAAAAGGAACAGGTTTCTTAGAAATTGCCGATGAAGGTTCAGGAATGTTTACACAAAAAATCGGGACGCGCTGTGGTAGCGTTTGTTATACGAGCATAAAAGTATCAAGTCAAAATTTAACTGAATAATTTTTTTCCTACCTAAACTGATAGCCTTGAGAGGCTATATCAGCGGAACCGAACAAGTGAGAATTATTACACATACTCAACTATTTTGCGTATTAAAGCCCTTAGTGACTTAAATGTCCAAATGAGCTTGTTTTTCGTTTGGCAAACGCATTGAAATCACTTGGATAATTAATAATTTATAGTTAACTTACAATTAAATATCACGTGAAATTGTCAAGCCGAAGGACCTTGATCACAATGTATAATAAGTCTTCGCTCACCTTGTAATTGACCCTTGAATTTCTATGTTGGAATTGGTCTTCAAGCTAGAATATTCCCTAAAGGCAGACCTAGCTCCTGAGCAAAGAACAACCGACCCGCGCGCGTTCACATCAATAATTACTATTAATGTGAGTTTGTGTGTTTGAATTTGTGGCACTATTTATTTTAGGGAAAATCGAATACACAACGCAGCCTACTTGTTTTACTGCTAACATACATGAATATATAAATGTGCAGCTCAGAATGTTATATACATTACATAAATATTATAGAGAACTAATTGCGTTATGAGAACCTAAATTTAATTTAGATAAATATACGGGATATATTTAATAAAAATATATCGGTAACGGAACTATGTATCGGATTAATTTTTATTAATATGTAAGTGAATACGAGTATGTCACGTTGACAGCAAAGAGAATGAAATTAAACATGTTATTATTTATTTATTTTTATTTATTTATTTAATACAAGGACAACCAACAGCCAACTAACAAAGTATAATAATATAACAAATAATAGAAACAAAAAGCCAATTAAAGGTCCTCAACAAATATAAACAAATTAAAAACACTAGAGAAACAAAAGCATAGAAACAAAAAAAAAAATTAAAAACAATCAGCAAGCATGAAACAACATAAGGAATGGAGGAAAACACCAGACTAATTTAAATGTACACTTATGTATAAATGTCACAAATTAATAAAAAACTGTTGTGCTCTGTATTAAAATACTTAATACAGATTATCACTCTAGAAATAAGGTCAATGTGTTATTTTATTAATGGAAAATTATCTATTTCTATAGTGTATCTGAATTTGAATTAGAATTTCACAATAAAAGTGATTATAAAATTGTAAATTTGATTTGACTGGTTTTATCGCGAAATTGTTAATACATAATAAGTAGACAATCTCTGAGAAAAAAGTATATGTCCCAGAATCGAAACCACGATAGATTCGTATGAGGCCTGTTAGTCTTACCTATAAAGCTGACGACGCTATTTGCACCTGTATTTATCAAAACTAGAGGTCCCGCAGTAGTCGAAATTCGACTATAATTAATAATAATTAATAATATTCTCTATAAGTGTGGAAAATTTCATACTCCTTCATCCGCGCAATTTTCGTAAAAAGGGATACAAAGTTTTTGCTTCACGTATTAATATATAGATATGAATTTGTTTTTTGACACAAAAGTCATTCGTAAGCGTAGTTTAAATACCTATATTCAAAACATTGATACTTGCCCTGGAGAGATTTTAATACTAGCACATCCGCATCGCTCGATACGACAACTTGGATATACATATTATGTACATATATGTACGCTTGTTTTCTATTGTATTAATATCAAAATATTTTTTAAGCTATCAAAAAGTCTAAACTACGTTACGGCAGTCGAAACATTTCTTTCGAAATTCCGTAACTATTAAAATCTTACAAAACTTTAAACTTTGAAATGTAATTGTTTTCAATAAAACCTTTTATTAAAATAACGCTTCCATTATCATTTTATCACGGCTCACTCGCCTTGATGTCGAAATTGCAATGTCATTACGTGGAAACTTCGTCAGCAGCTGGTTGCTCAAAGGCCTTCCATTCATAGGTCAGATGAAGTTGTTGAAGCCGCTGACGTCATTAACACGTCACATACTATGTATTACTTTTGATAATGAGTAAATATGTATATTCTTTCTATGTCTTAATTAAACAAGTGAATTATAAATCAGTTTTATGCGTATAGGTACGTACCATTAATTTTTGGAACGAAGTTCCTTATGGGACGACGCGGAGGGGTACCCTAACCGGGAAAAAACGTCCGTAACGTAAGATTTTTATTAGTAATGCACACAGTGTACGACTTAACTTTGTAATTACGTACAAAAATGACATTTTTATTACATATTTTTTATAAATCATTGTGAATAAAATAAGGTTCATAACTTTTTAAAGTAGTTTTTTTTGTCGGAGTCGAACCGACTAAAACCTCCTGTCGCTCAACAACCAACGTCCAAACCTCACATGAGACAGAACTCATGAAAAGGCAAAGGGGGGAAAGTGAAGTGTTTAGTGCGGAGCACATCTCTCCCATCACCCTCCCCCTCGGGACGCCGGACTGGCGGTCGTCAGCGCCACGACCACCAGCCCTCTCGGTCGGCAGGCTATCCGGAGCCCGCCTAGATGGCGCCGGTTAGAGTGAGCAAATAAATGTATACCCGAATAATTATTTTCTTTATACCTCGAATAGAACTTAAAATTAATATTTTTATAATACGGAACTCCGTTACTATCCGGTGTCCCACGACACCACACATTTTTTATTTGTTTAATTTCCGTCTGTAGTTTATCATTTTGGTTCTGCTAAAATCGGTTCTATACATTGTAGGTTTTAAGGAAATATAATTGTACACGCGACAAGAACGTGTCATCACACAGTTCGCGTGGTATCGAAAATTAACACTAGACTCCGACCAGGCAAATAAATACTTTCGTGTTCCATACATAACTTCATTAACTTTCAACGGCCGTCTGGTGTAGTGGTAAGTGACATGGTCACTACACAAGGGGGTCGCGGGTTCGAATCCCGCCAAGGGAAGATATTTGTATGATAAATATAAATGTCTTTTCCAGGGTTATGGATGTCTATTAAATATATGTATGTGTATAATAAAAATCTTACATTTATATCCGTTATCTGGTACCTGTAACACAAGTTCTTTACGAACTTATCACGGGACCAGTTAACGTGGCGTGATTGTTAGTAAATATTTATTTATTTATTTATTTATTTATAACTCGGTCGTTATTTCCGAATGCCATAGTTTGAGTCATCATGTTTCGTGAACCGCTTTAGCTCTTCGACTGTTCAGTGCGGAATGCGATGTTATATCATCGCACAATTGCTATCTTTTGAATGTGTTTGTTAATTGATGAGAATCCTTGACCGATGAGAAATGTTTTTCCAGGACATGTTTACGGTACAGTAGGCTGTTTGTTAACAGAAAAAAATTGTGGGTAGTTTTACCCTTTGCCTTGAACGTTTCGGATCAAAAAGAAAACAAAAGTAGATAAAGATCATTATTTCTAGAATTTTCGTGTTAAATGCGTATTCGTAGTAATTGAGAATCATCTCTCTCGTCTTATCTTTGTACTTTTTTTTTGTTAAATATAATAAGGCAGCAGGAATCCCAAGCACTAACCCTTTTATACAATAATCTATAATATGTATGTATAGTGTTTTTCATGTGATCTTTTTACTGAGTGATTGATCATTTACTATTTATTACTCTATTTTTATTTATTTATTATCGAGGGCGATGCTTTTTTTCCTACCTATTCGCTGGTAGCCTAAGAGACTATTCCAGCTACGTCCGGAGGGTGGATGAGCTCACGGGCTCAACCTGAGAGAATTGGCTAACACTAGCCCTAGCAAGAGCAGTTTTTCGTAGAATCTACCACCGAATCGGAGTCGCGACCCACTGAGAAGATCCGGCGTGAAACTCAATGGGCTGTGTCTATGGGCTAGTTCCTTAGTCGAACTCTTAATCGAAAGGATTTTCATTAGGCGTCAGGGCCCGTAGACATCCCGTAGTGGAAACATGCGCAGTCTCAGTTGTAAAATTTCCCTTCCATCGTTTTTGATGGAACCAGTGCTTGGAACGATTCTCACTACCTGTGCGAAACCAGAATATGTTCTACCACTAATAAATAACTATGAAAATTTATAACTTATATGGGTTTAATTAAGTGATATAACCTCCCTTTTGCCGCTGCGTTTGTCTTCCTTTTTTTTGATTCCAATGAGCTCCCCTCCACGGGGTTTCCCGAACGCTATGTCATGTCCTTCTTCAAACGAGGCCTGCGAAAGTACTCATACGTAGGCAGCGACTTGGCATTGTCGACGTCCATGAGCGATGGTAATCAC